GAGTTATGGCACGCCCTCAGGAGTATTTTTTTTAATGATTGTGCTTCAAAAGCTAAAAACATATACTATGATCATTTTTTTTATTTTCCGACGCCGTACCACGAAATGCGAACCCCAAAAGATTTTTTGAGGGTGCGGTTGTGCCTCACAATGGGGGCAAAACCATTTTTTTCACTAAGTGTAATTTATGTGTAATACAATTTTCAAAACCCGATTTATTTTTTTCTTAATTGCTACATTATAAGCTTATAACAGAAACAGCAAAAAAAAAACAACTCGTTGTTGTGTGTGTGGAGTGGCACGAGTGGATTCTCCAGAAGACTGGCTCCAATGCGTTTCTTGTTATGGATGGGCATTCGAAATAAACTGTTTTTTTTTGGCACTAAAAAGTGGAGAGAAAAATTATTTTGAATAAAAACGTTGTGCATTATTTTTAAATTTTTTTACATGACTTTTCCCAGTGGGCACAGGTACGTTTTGTGAACGTTTTTTGGTCGCTTGAAGGACATTTGTATATGTAAAACGTTCAAAAAACGTTCAAATAACGTTTTAATAAGTCTTTTTCTATCATTTAATTTCGTATTTTACTGGATAAAAAAATCGTCTCTCTATATATAAAATTTATATATATACAGATATACACATAGATAGATATAGATATACAATAAATAGATTGATAGATAAATAGATATATGATATTTGATAGATAAATAGTTAAAGCTACAGTCAGAAAAGACTTTTCAAACATAATAAATACTTATTGGTTTCAGTGCATACATATTACTTAACATGGTTGAGATAAAAACTAAACTTTTTATAACAAATGATTGTTACTATTTTATTCTGTAGTAACATTAGTTGGTTATACAAGCATGAAGAACATGGCTGTATATTAGGTAGACAAATACACAAATATTTATTATTTATTAGTACTTTATTTTGTCATTAAAAATTATACAAGTAAGTATAATATATATTGACAAAACTTTTTCTTGACTAAATTATAATAGAGATGTGTGATACATGCATAAAGTTTGTTTCAAAACTTTAAAGTCTTTAAAGATTTTATGTTCTAAAATCCAAGAAACAGTTTTTTAAAAAAAATTTAATTCACATATCTTTTTTAAAATTTTTATAAATGTTTGCATGTATATATATATATATATATATATATATATATATATATATATATATATATATATATATATATATATATATATATATATATATATATATATATATATATATATATATATATATATACTATATATATATATATATATATATATATATATATATATATATATATATATATATGATAGATAAATAGATAGGATATGATAGATAAATAGATATATGATAGATAAATAGATACTTAAGCTACAGTTAGAAAAGACTTTTCAAACATAATAAATATTTATTGGTTTCAGTCCATACATATTACTTGATATAGTTAAGGTAAAAACTAAACTTTTTGTAACCAATGATCGTTACTATTTTATTCTTTAGTAATAATAATTGTTTATATAACATATAATAATAAGTCGGAGCCGTAACAACTGAGAACAGATGTGGATTACAATAACATAAGATATTGTACTATAACAGCTAATATTAGTTTTTGAATAACTATAGTGTTTCATCTCTATACAATTTGTTGAGGTAGTTCTTGAATTTGTCAATTGAGTCAGCATCTACGAATTCATTTGTTAAGCTATTCCGTTGATTAGTTACTCTGTTGAAAAAAAGTTAAATCTACACTTGCTTTTACAAAAAGATTTATTCAAAGTGTATTTGTGCTGACGTAGGTTTAGAGCATGTTTAAAACTTTCATTTTTGTGAACTCAATTTATAATATTTTGATTGTGCTCAAATTTGTATTGTTGGATTAAATCACCTCGCATCCTACGTTTTTGTAAGGTTGTCAAATTCATCATTTTAAATTGTTTTTTGTAAGAAGATTTTTTGAGTGATGGTATGAGTTTGGTTGCTTTTCATTGAATCTTTTCAATTTTGACAATATCTTTTTTCAGATAAGGACACCAAACTTGCACAGCATATTCAAGATTGGACGCACAATTGTTATATATAATTTTTTAACCACATTTACATCTAAGTTTTTGAAAGTTTGACGAATCAAACCCAGGACTGAATTAGCTTTACAAACTGCTGCATTAATATGCAAATCCCATTATAGATTTGATTGAAATATGACACCAAGATCATGTTCAGAATCAGTTATACAAGCTTAAAGAACAAGACTCTATATTAGGTAGACAAATACACAAATATTTATTAGTACTTTAATTTTTAAAAACAGTTTTTTAAAAAAACTGTTTTTAAAAATTAAAAAAGAAACAGTTTTTTTAAAAAAATTCAGTTCACATATATTTAAACTTTTTGAAAAGTTATATAAATGTTTGTATGTACAGTAGCTTTCATAAATTTAGACGCATTCATTTTATTTTCATATATGTAAGAAAATACTCAAAATAAAAATAAAATAAAAGTACTAGCGCTATGTTTGATATATATTTTACAAGAAGAAGTGAAACTCTATTTATGAGTACCTTAATTTTTTTTTACAGGATGTTTATTACTCATTCTATACCGATTAACACAAAAAAGTTAATTGATAAGCTTGATTTTATTTTGTTCATAAATTTAGACGCACAACCAAAAAAGTCTTATATCTTGTTAATTGAAGTTAATTAGTAGTTTTTTCTATTAATAGGCCTAAAGTAATTGATTTTGTCAAAAAACTTTATATAAATATGATTTACCTGGAATTAGTTAATCATTATTTAATAAATAAACAAAAGTTAAGTTAGTTTTGCACTAAAAAGACGAGAAAAATTGGCAAAAGACGTATCACTCAAGGTGAAAGATGGCAAATTATTGCGCACATCAAAGAAGGAACCAAAAGTAATAGAAAAATCGCCAAGTTAATTGGAGTTTCTAAGAAATGCGTTCGGACAACGAAACAAAACTTTCTTCACACTGGTGGTGCCAGCGAGAAAACGAGGCCAGGTAGACCCTTGTCAACCACCAGAAAGGACGATAGTGTTCATTTTAGAGCTGCCAGAGCTAATCCAAAAATTAGTTACAAAGAATCAACCACAGAATTCAATACAACGCGAAATACATCTATTTCTCAAAGCACAGTCCGCCGAATACTTATCAAAAACAAGATTGGAGTCTACACTGCTTTAAAAAAACCGCTTCTGCGTCCATATAATAAAAAAGGAGACTAAAATGGTGTCGTGAAAGAAGGTATTGGACAATAGAACAATAGGAAAACATTATGTGGAGTGATGAGAGTAACTTTGAGCTTATCAATCGCAAATCTAACATAACAGTCAAAAGAATGGCTCATGAAAAGTATTACGCCAGGTACATTAGACCGACTGTACAAAGTGGAGGAGGCTCGATAGGAATCTGGTCATGCTTCAATTGCAAAGGTGTTGGTATGTGCCAAACATACACCGGAAGAATCAACTCCAGAATATACGTATAAGTACTGGAAAACAACTTAATTCCATCAATTGACCTGCTTATGCTCAATGATAAACCATGGAAACTTCAACAAAATGGCGCTACTGCACATACTGCATACTATACAAAGGAGTGGTTCAACGATAATAGTATCATGACAATACCGTGGCCTTTATATTCACCTGATTTAAACCCGATTGAAAACATTTGGGCTTGGATTGACCGTGAATTAGCAAAGGTTCAAATTTCCACACTTACTCAGCTGAAGGAATTCCTTAAGGAGACCTGATATGGGGTCCCAGAAGCGATGTGCAAAAATTTTGTTGAGTCTATGCCTAGAAGAGTTCTTAGTTGTATTAAAGCAAAAGGCGGATAGACAAAATATTGATTGGTTTATAAATTACGCCTTCTAATATATCGTGCGTCTAAATTTATGAATAATTTTTTTTGTCTAATTTTTTTAATACCATGTAGTTGTACCTAATTATTACTTAGTATTTCATTTTTTTTGTAAACTTTTTTTAAATTTTGTATTCTGTATGTATTTATCCAATAAATAGAAAAAAAACTAAACCAAAATCTTTTTTCGTCATTGTTTTATCGTTGAAAAACTAAAAATTTCTATTCTCAAATATGAGTGCGTCTAAATTTATGAAAACCACTGTATATATATATATATATATATATATATATATATATATATATATATATATATATATATATATATTTATGTGTGTGTGTGTGGTTGTTTATTTTTATTTTTTTTTATGTATGTAAAATTATTTTTTATATATACTGGTTAAACTACCATTCTCAATTATGAGTAACAAAGATGCAAGTATAATTACAATGAAATGATCACAACCTAACACGAAGTAAGTTTATGTTACAATCATTTCATAAATAAATCTTTTAATAAAAGTGTAAAGTTATTTCTATCTAGACTATTTCTACTCCAGTTAGCAATTGCTCTACATTATTTATGCAAGTAGAAGTTTTAGTAGAAATAACTTTGTATATATAATATTGAGCCATGACTTTTTTTAGCTTAACCAGAAGACTTAACTCAGTAGCTTTTTAATTTTTTTCTAATATATGATTGTTAAATCGTATATTAGAAAAAAATTAAAAAGCGACTGTATGTTAAGTAAAAAAATACAAAAATATTTTTTTCACCTTATAAAGAAAGGCAAGTATAAATATTGAAAAACCTAAATCTTGACTAAGAAACTAAAGAGATGTAAGATGCATGCGTAAGGTGATTCAGAGTCTTAAAGTTCTTTTTTTATAATTTTTCAAAATTAGTGTTATATTTAATATTCTTAACTAAATTCTTCAATGTAAGTTTATATATAAAATGAAGTGTGCAATTTTTGTATTTTTTTTTAAATATCAAATTTAGAACGTTAAGTGAAACATGTCACAATTGTTTGCACATTAGAGAAGCAAGTCCTGATATTAAAGTGCAAAATTTGCCAAATGTAAGTTCATCTGTTTTTATTCTACATTTTATGCTAAATAAAACTAGATAAATGTTTTTCGAAAAATTTAAAAATGTGTATGCATTTTTAACAAGTTGCTAAATAATACATTATAAATAATACATAAAACATTTCTTTAACAAGTTAAAAAAAAATTTCAACAATGTATTGCTGCACTTTATTGTTATATGAACTTGTTGATAAACTGTCATTAAGTTTTAAGTCTATTAGTGGAACAAGTATGTTATTAAATGTTGTCTTTTCCTTTTTAAAAGATGCTTTTTGTATTTAATTTAATTTTCAGTTTTCCACAACAGTTTTTTATTAATATTTTACTTAGTTCGAACTTTTTTTTCTAATAGGTTTTCAATCTGCAATATAAATGTAACTACGATACCTAAAATCTTAAAAAGCCTTTATCTGCAGTGGGGGAAAAACAACTTTCCTGGGTGAAAAAACTGAGTTTGAAGACTCATAATTTTATTATGATAAAATAAATGATATAACAAGGTTTAATGAAAGTGAAATAATTTTAAATAATAAAGCAAAGATTTATTTGTTTATATATTTTGTTTACATTTATGTATAAATTTTTCCTAAATAAAGTAAAATGTGATCAAACTAAATATATTCTATGATTTTTTAAGGTCTTTGTCAGCTCTGCTGATAATGTTTTGGATAAAATAATGTCAAATTGTGTTATACCATTGTTTAAGAAAGCTGGAACTTATGGAAATCATTTAAAAAAACTTTATTGAGTAGAGTAATAATAGGTAATTTTTAAATTTTTATATTGTTCCTTTAATATACTGTGTGATATTTTACAGAACACATTTTTTATTATTATAATTTACACTTTGATGCATCTTTTTTACATGCTAGTGAAATGCATGAAAGATTTCTATGGTATTTTTCTTTTTTAGAAACATTAGTGTCACATACATCAAAATTCGATTTGGTCGTTAAGTTGAAAGGTGATTGAATAATAGAATAAATAGCTTTTAGAATAGCAAAAAAAAAAAACTACTTTATTATGTTTTTGTATGCTTAAATTGTAAATAAACACAAAATGTTAAAACTTTTAGTTTTTCTATCTAGACTTTTAGACCTTAGTTTTCATTTGTGAAAAGGTTTTCTTTTTTGTAAAACATAAGTTATTACTTAAATAACTGATACTTAGAAAAAAGGTTGTTTAACGTCATACAAATGTTTTTTGCAAAGCATTTGAAATTATTTAACATCATACAAGTTTTTTCCAAAGCATTTGAAATTATTAAACGTCATACAAATGTTTTTTGCAAAGCATTTGAAATTATTTAACGTCATACAATTGTTTTTTGCAAAGTATTTGAAATTATTAAACGTCATACAAATGTTTTTTGCAAAACATTTTAAATTATTTAACGTCATACAAATGTTTAGAGTTACTCACTGCTTAGGACTATTACCGGAGCATTTCAAATTAATCATACAAATTATTATTTCGAATTAATTTGTAATTTAAAAAATATTTTAAAAGTCACCTAAAAAAACTTGTTAAATTCACTATTTAAATGAATTTTTTTTTTAAGCTTGAAATTTTTATTACAAATAACAGAAAATGTGCGCATATAAATAATAATATGAATACAACCAGCAGCAACATTTAAGAAAATATTTTTTTTCATCACTTTTTTAAAATAAATCGATCTTCTAGGTAAGTAAACAACTCGTTGTCTTATAAGAATAACAATCATTTACAAAAATATTTATTCAAAATATTCTAATATAGCTCTAAAATTATTAAGACTGCACAATCGCTCCACATTGTTTATAAATAACGTTTTATAAATATATATAAATCTATACACCAAATTTTCTAAAATCAGTTAAATTAATGCAAATAAAAATTAAATTGTTTATTAAACCTGCTTCCAAGAATTCCATAGGAAGTCCTTACAAGGCAAAAACAACAACAACAAAAACAAAAACAAAAAAAACTTTGTGACTAAAGTATTCAAAATGGATAAATCACGACATTTTTAAGATAAATTTTTATAGAAAAATTTTCTGAAAATAACTACTAACTACTATAACTATAAAAAATAAACTTAATATAACTAAAACTTAACACCCTAGTATAAAGGTGTATAAACTAAACCATTTTCAAAATATATATGTGATATATATATATATATATATATATATATATATATATATATATATATATATATATATATATATATATATATATATATATATTCATATAATGTTTCATTTGCATCAAAATCAACTGGTGTACTTTTTCATTCCAAATGAGTTATCAACTCTTAGAGGAAGTGTTGCAGAGGATAGAGAGGATACCTCCCAATACAAACTCCTTGAAATAAAAAGCTGATACATAAACAAAGCTGAAATCGTTTGGCCTACTGTCGTAACAAAAGCGATAAGCTAAATTATGAAAACAAAAAGTTAAACAAAAAAACTATATAAACAAAAATAATCTTTAGAAAGAAAGATTTTTATAAATAAACTCGACTAAAACTAAATTAGCATTTGATGTGATGATGGATTAGGGCCACTACACTCTATTATAGTATTGCCGTTTACGCAGCAATACACTCTGTTACGATCATATTAAAGGCTAAGTAAATTTTGTGTAACTTACCCTTCCAAATTTAATTAAAATATGGCTTCTTTAAGTTATTTTACTATAAAGTAATATTTGACATCATTAGGGCTGCTTGGGGTCGAAGTTTGTATTTTTTTGATGACAAAGTAATTTATTAGTTTTTAAAGCTCATAAGTTTTAATGTATTTTATTCAATGTGTCTATGGGTAAGTAACATTATTTTGTAAACTACAATCCATAAATTTTTGACTTCATTAAACAAAATCATTGAAAAAACAAATTGATACTAAAAATAAAGCGATTGTTATCTATTAGCAAGTATGGGATAACTTTACGGAATAAGCATTTGCGAGGGGCCTAAAACTGTAGGATAGTACTCCATTGTGTCATAAACAATTCTAAAAATCATTTTTTTAAAGTCAAACTTAAAAAGGTTTATATAAATAGGAAAGCCCATTTTGATACAAAGGAGCCCATTTCGATACAAAGCCATTATTTATTGACGCCTAAAAATGACACTTTAAATGATATATTATCTGAATGTGATTTGGACCATATGATGCATTAATTGGGTTATAAATATTAATTTGTTTATATTTCAAATAAAAATCTGCCTTTTTTCTATGCTTTATACTTTTTATTTACTTTTTTTAATGATGCTTGTAGTGTGTATCAAGGTACCCCATGGGCAGGGTACCTCGAAACAAATTTCTAATTTTACTTTAAGTAGTCTCACAAGTTTAACCTGTTATATTTATTAGAATTTATTTTGCGGGTATAAATTTATTTAACAAATTAAACCAATCGTCTAAAAAAAAGGTTTGTTAAAAAAAGTGTTACGAAGCAAAAACCAAAAGTGTGTCATGGTGCCCCACTCTCCCCGAGTCTACTACCACATTTACAAGTGAGTCATATTAAAAGCTACAATTTAAGACCATATTTATTTTACGCTATATATTAAATATTAAAAAAAATTAATTTTCATTAATCTAAGTCTTGATTACTGAAAATTTTTACCCCTACTTTGTTATCTCAGAATTCAAAAATATTTTGGAACATCTGCTCAAAAATATTTTAATACTCTTATCTTTACAACCCCAGAACTCAAAAATGTTCTTAAGTTCATTCGGGACTTTAAAATTTTAGAAAACCAACAACAAAATTTAATTTTCTACTTTTCAAAAAAGTTCTGATAGGATGTTTTGCAATTGCTGAGTTTGCTGAGACCATTTGATAGAGTTTACTGTAAAATCAAATAAAGAAATGCACATGAAATAGTTTCCAGTATTTGATAATAATCTTTACTTTTACCAAACAAATTTATAATTAGTAAAAATGCAACTTTTACAATTTTTTTCATTAGGTAAACAACTTTTACAATTTTTAAACAAGATCTCACTTCTGCTACAGCATGGGGCTCTCAGTGGCTAGTAAACTTTAACTCAGAACTCAATTTTTTTCAGCTAACTACTATTGCAAAAATCTAGATTTTTTTATATTTATTTAATATATATATATATATATATATATATATATATATATATATATATATATATATATATATATATATATATATATATATATATGCATATATATATATATGCATATATATATATATATATATATATATATATATATATATATATATATATATATATATATATACATATATTTAATGTTAATTCACCTCCCCAAGGCTATAAATGACAAACAAGGAACCTCTCTCTTATGAAGTGAGTGTTTTACGACTACACCATTACTGCATATATCAATATAAAATGTATTTACAAGTCCATTCCAAAATTAGCATATTCTAAGGTTGCATCTCTTTATCATGCTCGCCACTTTCTTACTCTGGGTTCTATTCTTCATCTCTATAAATATCAAATCCATCCTTGTAAGGAATACTGTTGCCATATCTAGAGTGGATCTTTAAATGATGCCTTTTCTAATTTAGACAAGGTGCAAAAATGCATTGTAAACATAGTTGGACCTGCACTTGCAGTCAACCTTCAACCATTGTCACATCATCGTAATGTTGTTTCTCTTTTTTTTCTTCTTCTATAAATACTATAATGGATGCTGTTCTAAAGAGTCTCTTGTGCCATCTACTAACATTCTCGTGTTACTTGTCATGATACTTAACTTATTCTTTAAATTTAACTTATTTTTTTAAATTACTCTACTTTTCAAAACATAAATAAAGATGATAATATAAAACTTTGAAAATAACACAAAAACAAACCTTTATTGCAAAATCAATATTTTAAAATTTAATCTATTCATTTTAACAATATTTCCAGAGCGCATAGTTCCTATCAGAAAAAAGTTGGTTTTAAAATGAATACAAAAATTTTAGAACTAATAAGCCAAATCTCAGATTGCTTGAGTATCTACAGACCTGGACGAATCATTATAAGCATGAAAAATGAGTAGTTTATAAAAAAAAAAAAATTATTTCCTAAAATGGGTAAAGTAAAAGATTTAACTCCAAGACAAAAAACAAGCAGTGCTACAGTCAGAGGGGGATTGCTGAGAAACTTCAAGAAAGACAGAAGTCTTCTGCAGTTAAAAGAGTTAAGAGAGGGAATCGGTTCTTGATCAGGATTTCTGTAAAAAAAGAACAAAGAACAGGAAGCATAATGCATCAAACTTTACTGCTCATATCAACAAGACTCTGATTTAACTCTGCCAATCAAATTGTATAGCAAGAAGTCTTGATCTCACTTTTCTTTTTTTTTCAAAATCTTAACTTCCAACAAGGCTGCAAGCAAACACTATTAGACTTGGAAGTTACTGGAAAAGAAAAGATAAAGTTTATGGAGCAAGATAACGATTGACAGATTACTTAAAAGATTGCAAATTATATGAATCAGGAAAGCCAGATGAAGAAAAAAAATTCCAAAGAACTGATGTTCGAGAAAAAAAAACTAGATAAATAAGAGTTTTTGGAGCACTTAGAAATAGTAACAGAAAAAGGATGAGACTTAGTTGAATGACTAGTAACACAAGAATGAGTTTTAGTAGATGGCACAAGAGACGCTAGCTCTTTAGAGCAGTGCCCATTATAGTATTTGTAGAAAAAAGAGGGGAGAAGCAACATTACAACAATGTGATAATGGTTGAAGGTTGGCTGCAAGAACAGGTCTAACTATGTTTACAATGCGTTTTTGCACCTTGTCTAAAAGAGAAAGGGCATCATTAGAAGATCCACCTCAGATATGGCAACAGTATTCCATATAAGGCCAGATTTGAGATTAATAGAGATAGAGAATAGAATCCAGAGTAAGAAAGTGTTGAGCTTTATAAAGAGATGCAACTTTAGCAGATACTAATTTGCAACGAATTTGATATATGGTTTCCAAGAAAGATCAGAAGTAAGAGTCAATCCTAGAAGATGAAGGGTAGATGACTCATCGAGTACATTACCGTTCATAAATATAGGAAGGGCTAAATTATTGCGATAACGACTGGCTGATAAAAATTGAGTTTTATCTGAATTAAAGTTCACCAGCCACTGTGAGCCCCATGTTGTAGCAGAAGTGAGATCTTTTTCAATGTCCCTGCAAGCGATCAGAGAGTTTTGGCTTCTACCATTTATTCTTATCAAGACAAGAATAAATGGTAGTATCATCAGTGAACAATGCAACCTTAGATGTGAAAATATCTGGAAGATTGTTAATGTAAATTCAAAAGAGTATAGGACCAACCATACCCTTGAGGATATGGACTTTAGAAACAGAAGCTGGTGTAATATGAATGTCAAGCAATGGATCAACCTGTTTGACAGCAATATCAAGTAGAAAGCAACTAGTGGAATTAAGAGATGATATTGATAAAAAGTTCTTAGCAAACAATTCAGCTTTGTCTTTAGGTGAGGTGACAAAATCTGAACCATACAAGAGAGGTAGAATAGCAGATTTGCCCTTATTATAGATACTATTAAAGATTCTCCAGAAGTCAGGAGAGCCTAATTTTTGAGGTATAATACGAAATTTGGTGACCTGAGAATAGCGGGCTTTGGTGTTAGACAAAACCTTTTCACAATGGTTTCTAGCAATAATAAACAGACGTCTGTTTTCTAGAGAATTGTTTTGCTGATAGATATGGAAGTAATAGTTTTAGTTGGAAATTGCATTAGCACAATGTGAGGTAAACCAAGGGGAAGAGTGAAGCTTGACATGGAGTCGTAGAGAATAAAAGATTCATGCCAGCCTCAATCCAAGATGTTACATAAGAACACATTTATCAGCAGGAGGATTAAAAAGTTACAGAAAGAGTCCCAGTCAGCTTTAAGGTAGTTATAAGAGATACAATGATAGGGGGATTCTGATGATGAAGAAGAATGAGATAATCATTTTAGAAAGATCAAACCGTGATCAGAAGCACCTAGAGGTGAATGTGCAGAAACTGAGCACTGAGTAGGATCAGAAACAAGACATAAGTTGAGTAGAGAAGGTAAACGATTGGAGTTGTCTGGAAAGCGAGTTAAAAAGTTGACTATTTGAGTTGGAAATTGAGAAAGGCAAAAGTTGTGGGTCTTAATGTCTGGAGAGTCACTGACACTAGAGCCAAGCCATTCAGTGTGATGAGCATTAAAGTCACCAACAACAACGACATTGGCTGATGGATAGAAAAAAAGGGCTTGGTCAATTTGATCAGAAAAAAAATCGAAAAGAGTATAGCCTTAAAATGAAGGAGAGCGATATAGAAAAAGAAAGAGGATAAAATGAAGTGGTGCTAAACGAAAGCACATAAAAGAATAGTCGGTGGATTCAAACCTAGTTTCCTGACAAATGGGTGAATTCTTACGAATGTAAATGCCCAGGCCAAGCATAAGACTATTGGAGTATTTACTAATTAAAGGAAGATAACCATCAACACTAAGATCACAAGATGAAACAGCCAAAGTCAAATTATTCTTAGAGCAAGTAGATAAGACTCAACAGAAGAAAAGTTACTTTGAACACCACGAATATTAGTGAATCATAGGTTTAGAGAACTTGCTGATAATGATTTTTTTTTTTTTGTGTTTTATAGTTTTTGATATTTTAGCCTTTTTTAAATTTGTTAAAGAATTTGACTCAAAGCATAGATAGCACTCAGTACACTATTTAATAGCCCAAGCAATTGCCTCATTACTATTAATAAACCCTAAGCCATAAATAAGGGTTCCAAATATGGCCTTGACAATGCACATCAAAATTAAGAATAGGGACACCATTCATGAGCAACATGGCACTGTTAGTACTCTGATATTTTACAGCTGTTGATGGAATCAGCCTCTCTGAGAGCTACCGTAGAGTTCAAGAAACCTGACAACCACCCGGCCTCAGAATCATAAAACTGAGTTTTAGAGCTGTACCCTCATTAGGAGATAATGAGTTGCCTAGTCATAAAAACAGAGACACAAGCAAAAACTATGCATTGAGTCAAGAAGATCCAGCATTCAACATCCTAAACTGAAAACAATGTATTATAAGTACACACAAAGTTCTGCTTCCAGAATGTGTTTTGGCAACTGTCAAGCATCCTACTTCTGCTATGGTTTGGGGAGTTATCTCTGCTCAAGATCCAGGCTGTCTGCACACTGTGAATGGAACTATGCGCCAGGACCAATACATTGAAATCCTGCAGTCTAAGCACCTACCCTAAATAACTATACAATTCCCTAATGACAATGGAATTTTCATGCAAGACAGAGTGCCTTGCTATACAGCAAAAAGGGTTACTGAGTTCCTGAAACAGACAAACGTCCCTTTGCTTAGCTCAGGGTGCGACAAATCGATGAACGCGCAAATGTTTGGTAAAAAAAAAGACTGAAAAACGAAAGTCATGTTTTCTTACTTTTACTTAAGCAAACGTTGGCGTTTGCCAAAAATTTTTAAAAACGAAGGCATAACTTTTATCTCCAAATAATTATGCGATTGATAGTTTTATTATATATAAAAAATTATTAAAAATAACAATTACTAAAATTTAAAACACATTTTCAACAACTTTAAAAGAAACCATGGTAATACTTTCTTTAATAGCGTTACTTTTAAGTACACCAATAAGAAAATAATGTTTTAGCATGGCTTTTACATGCATTTATTTAACCATGAGAAATTTTAGTCAAAATGAATGCATTTGCAATTATTTTAAAAGAAACCATGCTAAAACATTACTTTCTTCAAAAGCATGTTTTTTTTAATTTTTTTATTATTGTTAAATTAATGTTTGCTTGCCCTTTTTAAAGTTAAAAATTTTTTTTTTTTTAGATTTGCAGAAATATATATAATTTAATAGAATATAAAGAACTATTATGTTTATTATAGTTTTTATTTTTTTACTGTACGTTTAACAACATCAATAATATGATATTTTATTATAAAATACTTTTATTATAAAATAATATTATTATAAATACAATAATATCATATTTCATTATAACTTAATATAATAACTTATAAAATATTTAATATTATATTATTATTTTTAAATGTCTTAAAAAAGAAATGTCAAAACAACTTTCATTTTATTTCTAGTTTCCTTTTATTTAAATTTCTTCAAGTTTTTACATTTTTTATAAGTAAATAATTTCAACAAACTAAATTGAGAAAAACTCACTATTTTGTATTAATGGATAACAGTTTACAGTCATAATGTTATTGCATATTAGTTATTAATTTGCGTGCTTTTTGAAAATGCGTGAAAAATTATGTTGAATTAATAAAAAATTGATAAAATTCAATAAGCATCTTAATATCTTAATAACTAGAATAAAAGTTTGAAAATAAAACTCCCATATAATTTAATAAAAAATTATTTGAATTAAAAAAAAATTAAAATTAAAAGAACAAAAAATAAAACTGGCATATTCATGGCCAACGGGTTTTGAAGTGGAGGTGCACAACCACCTATTTCTAAAAACAAGTCCTCTATATCTAGAATTTCTCTTTTTTTTTTAAAAAAAAAGCCTTTACAAAAAAAGTGTGTATGGGGGGGAGAAGAAGCTGCCCCCAGGTTGTCTGCCATGTTATTTGACCTCCTAAATTAGACATTTGTCAATAAATAAAGAAACGAACGTCAATGTTTATTAAAAAAAAAAAACGATTTGTTGCGCCCTGTAGCTAGCCAGGAAACTCACCTGACATGAATCTTTTTGAGAAATACTGGCGTCTTCAAACATAAAGTCAATGCAATCAAACCCACCACTAAGCGTTGCTTGATTGAAAGCATACTTTAAGTATGTAATTATATTCAAGACATCAGTAGCATGTGCCCGCGTCTCATACAGGGAATGCCTAAACATGTGGCTCAAGTACTGTCGACATTCCTATGTTAATGAATGGAAACCCTCTCACTGAGTTTTTTTCTTTACGTCTTCTTGGATTATTGTTTACTAATGACTTTTCATGGAAACTATATATACAATTGATTGCTAAATTAGCATCTGTTAAGATTGTTTTTCTTTATTGTGTTTGCCATTTTCAACTTCCTGATTCTCTACCTCTACAAATTTCTTATATGTCCCTTTATGGAATACTGTTGTCATATTTGGGCTGGTTCTTCTAATGATGCTCTTTCTCTCCTAGACAAGGTCCAAAAACGCATTGTAAATGTCGTTGGACCTGCTCTATCTGCTAAGCTTGAGCCTCTTTCCAATCGTCGCAAAATTGTTGCATCTCTTTCTCTTTTCTACAAATACTATCATGGTCGCTGCTTAAAGGAGCTATTATCTCTAGTTTTATTAACTAAAACTCATTCTTGCTTGACTCGCAATTCAGCAAAGTCTCATTCTTTTACCCTGCATGCTCTGAATACTTTTATTTGCCTAGTTTTTTTCCCTGCATTTTAACCTTTTGGAACTCTCTACCACCTTCATGTTTTCCTGATTCATACAACCTTCAACTTTTTAAGTCTGTCAACCGTTTCCTTACTCTATAACTCTATTCTTTTTTTCTAGCAACTTCCAATTTAATATTGGTTGCTTGCAGCCTTGTTGGGAGTAAATCAGTACGAAAAAAAAGAAAAAAATTCTGTTCTGGAAACCTTTTTCAAAAAAAATCTGGAATGTTTATCCTTATTTTTTTTTAATTTTGCCTTTAGCTGAGTTGTTTCTAATTTTTTTTTCCAACCTTTCATAATTTTTATATGAGTGATGAGTGAAAAAGCTTAAAAAACAAATATATCACAAAAATATACACATAAACTTGCATGTATGGATAATGTTTTGGATGAAAACTAAAAGTTGAAAAAAATATCAGGAATTCTGGAAATATCCAGAAAAAGATAGTCCCTGATGTATTACTATTTATATTTTAATGTAAATTCATTTTGTTTCATAAAAACAAAAAACAAAAACCTTTTGATGATGATACTCAGCAAAGATAATAGAAGAGATAGCAGCAAATGGCAGTGACCACCACAATATATAATTATCCTGTTTATAATATAAAATCATAATCAGTATAAAAATAATCTTTTATAAAAAATTTATTTATTACTTTTATATAAAAATTATTTATTACTTTTACAATAGCAGCACAATTTTTTTAACTTGAATTTTAGTACTTATAGAAAATAAACGGAATGAATGTTAATAAAATAGATACCAATACCAACTTCCTGTTTTTAAAAAATATTTTTAATACATTTTTTCAACATATTTATTTCTAATTTTTTTGATCAAAATTATAAAGGAGTCTGTACTACTTTTATGCCTTTTGGCCCATAATCACGCCAAGCCGATTGTGTTTAGATTTTTACACCAACGTATTGTTAGTATCTTACGGATTACCAGCCAAAAAATCTAAACCCGATCAGCTTGGCGTCATAGTTTTCTGGTAAATCTGGTATCTGGTAATTAAAAAGAAAAAAAAATCAAAAATTAAAAAAAAAAAAAAAATCAAAAAACAAGAAAAATTATTGTAATTTTATATATTTAAGCCAAATAATAAAAAATAGTTTTTATATTATACATTTTTGGTAGTTTTTTGATGATAGAATTGCTTAAATTATCTACCAAATAAAATTCACTATTTAATAAAAATATTGATCTATAGTGGCTTGTTTCATTATTAAATATTGTGCAACGTATAAAATTGAAACAACGTTTATCAATTATAAATGATAACGGGATATCATTTATATTTAGTTCATCTTCATCTTCTTGGAACACCTCTACAAATAAACAAAATGGGTGAAATAAAAACTTTGCAGTAGAATCATTAGAGCAGATTTTACACAATTCATTCAACTTGATATTTAAATATGTTACTTTCTCTGCGTTTTTAATTAAGATAAACTCATTAATGTTTGGACAAATCGTTTTGTTACAGGTTGAACAATTAAACTGAATTGTCTGAAAATGTATTAAAAAACGAATAAACGCATTGCATTCTGTATCAAGAGTACTGAAAGTTAAAGAATCATTTGGTTTTAGTCTCATAACAAGAAGAATCCATATAGTTTTTACTCTATCCCATTCACAAGTTTCAATGAGAGAAAGTATATCGAGTATGTAATTATATATTTTGATATCTTTTTTATTCTCTTGTAATACACTTATGATATTTTGTGACAATAAAGATGAGCACCAAATAGCCAACAAAAAATAATCAATTATGTAAGTGTTCTGAATGATAATACTTCGGTATAATTGACACAGCAAAAAATAATCTGTATCCATTTTAAAATCATCTTTATTTAACAAAATACAGCCGCCCCATTTTGGTAAACGCTTTGAAAAAGATCTAAAGTTTGTTTCATTAATTATTTTTGCAGATTTCTTATTCAATAGTGAAATACTTAATTCAGAATCAATTATATTCAATTCTACGTTAGATTTAGCTTTCGATTGTATTAAACTCGTTGATATATCTCGTTTCATAGTTTCATTTATCTCTAATGTTTCTTTTTCAGATTCGCATTCTGATTCATTTTCACTTTGTAAAAAAAACATAAGCCTTGAGCCTGGATTAGGAAGTTTTTCTAAATACTTTCCACAACACAAATAAAGTATAATGCTAGCAATGTGACTACAACAACCACAAGTTCTTAAACCAGAAAAACACCCGCATGCCCAAGACAATACTGATTCTGGACTATCGATATTTGGCAAGTATTTAATATATAACCTATACTTAGTCGCGTTTGAATGTATTGACTGAATTTCAGCGGAAATCAATTTATAATTTTGAATTTGTTGAATATTGTTATCAATCAAAATAATATATTTTCCATTTTTATTTAAATGTTCTGCTAGATAACTGTAACTTTGTTTTATTTGATAGCTACCAAATGTGATGTATTTTCGCATATCATCTATAGAAAACTTTGGGAAATCGTTTAAATCTAACGTGTCGATTGGTTCAAAATGCTTTTTACTTTTATTTTTTGTGTTCAAAATATATGATTCCAAATCATTTTTGAAATTAATTTTATTTTTCATTAGAATTGCAATATCTTTACCGTCTTTTTTATCGGATATATATTTTACATGAAAACAGTTAATCAAAGAGGCAGCTATTCTAACATCAGTCATTATATGAGGAAGCATTGTATTCCTTGCTTTTTCCAAAGATTTAAAAGATTGTTTAAATGTACCATTAACAGCCTCGATAACCCATCTGCATTTTGTAACAAACCTAGTATGGTTCGCTTGTAAACTAGTTAACTGACTTTTAAAACAAGTTGGCATCTTCGTAAACACTTTATATGTAGTTTTCAATTCATCAACGATATCTCTAAAACCTCTATCTAAAACGAATAAATCATTGGGCTCAACTAGTTCTCTTATATCGTTTTTGGTTTTTAAAATATTACTAATATAATATAATATAATATAGTTAATATAATTTATATATAGTTAATATATAATATATACTAATATAATATAATATAGTTGCGTCATTCATAGTTGCAGCAAAAGGTCCATAAACATCAATAATAAAACCATTTACAGTGCATACTACAAAAGGCTTAACTAAATGTCTTTTTTTTTGCCCACTGTACAGTTTTCGTTGTAAAGTATTATTAGAACTTTTTTCAAAGAATAGATAAGTACCATCGGCTATAATTGCTAGCTGTTCTTCTTTTAAGTCAAACAAATCTTTGATCATGTCTGTGTTATTTAAGAGCCAATCTTTTCGTGATCGTGATTTTGCTCCTAAATTCTTTTCAACAAAATCAGCACTAAGTGAGGTTCTTATCTGATGGCAATACTTTTGAACCTTTGACCGACACGACAAACCAAAATAACACGCAATTGAATTTTGATCAAGACCAGTCTTTAACCAAAAGAGATAAACGGCAAGAGCTTGCTCTTTCGAACATTTGAAAGAGTTTTTAATTGTTTTTAATTCACTTACCAAATACAAAAATTCATCTTTGGTAAAACCGGTATTTTGGAAACAAAACTCAGTTGTTACGTTATTTATTTCGCTAAATTTTGCAAATATAGATGCCGTTTTTGAATCTCTAGACCGAAAACTTTTAAATAAATCTTGTATCATTGTTTTATTTAAGTTTACGGAGTTTTTGAAAGATGAAATATTATTTAAATATTCATCTTTAAGCCACTTACTGTCTGTCAAATGAAACTTACAACACCTACTATCAATAGGTATAAATATATTTGTTTTAATAAAAACATCAATTATCCCTTCATTTGTTATTATACTAAATGGAGTCGAACCAGATTCACATTTACAAATAAAACAGAAACCATGTGAATTTGAAATTCTATCGATTTCTATATTGATCTTTTTCTTTTCAATAGATTTATTGCAATAATCATTGTCATCGTTGTCATCGACATTCTCGAACTCTTCAGAACCCTTATCAGTACTCCTAGAATCGAAATGATCATAGTTTTCAAGAACAATATTAGGATTTGACTCATCATTAGAATTATCTTCAACAAGTGTATTGTTAGAAATGACATTTATATTTTTATCAAGAAAAAACCTGGCTTTGTTCAAAGATTTTAAGTGCTTGTAACACATTATCTGATCATGTATAAGATTTATTCGATCAAGTTTAAAATGATATACAACTTTATCTATCATATTTTCATTTTTAATTTCAAAAACTTTTTTTGAGCCAATACTTTCACCTCTCTTTTTACAAACACAGCAACATCTATTTCTAAGATTATTTAATACCATTTTGTAATATTATTATATAATTTTTTTATTTTTCAGTTGTTATAATAAAAATCTTTAAAGGATTTAATTCACATGAAATAAAAAATAAAAATTGCAAAACTTTTTATTAAGGAAATATAAAAATAAAATAAAAAAACCATTAGTGTTTTAAACTTTATTATTTAAGCTCAATTAAAATAGTTGCGGGGTAGTTAACTGTTGTTCTAATTCCTTTTATATCGTTTTAAAATGTGGAATTTAACCATACCATATCGATTCTATTAGCCACAAGTGCGTATTGAAAAGTTAAAAGTCTTTTTTTCAGTTTTTTTTTAAATAAAAAATTGCCTTAAATTTTTATTTTTTTTGAGGGGGGAGGGTGGGTTAAAATTATTTTTAAGTTATAAAAAGTACTTTTCTAATATCCTTGAGCGTAATTATAAGTTTTAAAGAAGGAAAAAAAAAAAAATTGGGGGAGGGGCGAAGAGGGGGAAGGGGGCTCAAAATTATTTTCACGTTGTAAAAAATAGTTTTCTAACATCCTTGAGCTTAATTATGATTTTTAAACAAAAAAAAAAAAGAGCCAAAATTTCATGTAAGTTGGACATACTCCTTTGAAAAACAATAGGTATAAGAAGATAGAGATGTGGAGATAATAGATAAAAATAATAGGTATGGTATGGAGATAATAGATAAAAAAATAGGCATGATATGGATATAATAAATTAAATAGGTATAGTAATGAGATAATAAATAAAAACAATAGGTGTTGAGATAAGATAAAACATAAAACAAAAACAATACCCGAACCAACTTGTGGTAAAAATCTCGTTTCAGAGCACTACGTTCTTTAACTATTGCATTTTGAATGAAATAAGCAGTAATAAATGCTACAAAAATTCTGAGCATCAACAAGAAGAATATTTGGCTGAACAGCATGAAAACTGTCTGAAATTGGAATAGAATTATTAGTCAATAAAAACTGTAAATTAACTAATTATGTTAAAGAAGAAAAAGAAGAGAGAAAATAAAAAGCTAAAAAGTTAAAAAAAAACTTACCTGAAATATAGTAATGAATATTATTATATAATGCGTCAATTTTTCATTATTTAAAAATGTACTTGAGGATGAAAGAATACCAGCTGTAGCTAACTTTGTTATCATTATTAACATCAGGTAGTGGTTGTATCCATCAATAACTGAAATCAATTACGCAAAATTAAAAAAAAATTAGTATCTTGGTGCATAAAGTAGCTAATAAAAAAACAATATTCCTTTTTTTTTTTACAAAAAAAGTTACACAACTGCTTTAGTCATTTTTCATATCTCTACTACAATTTTTTTGTAAACATCCCGGTTGAAATCGGCTAGCGAATAGCTAGCTATAATTGTTACAATAAAGACAGCGATTTGGCCACGAGGATCGCTAATTTTTTTAAGTTAGCAAAAAGCTATCGATATTTTGTAAAGATAAAGACAGCAATTTGGCTACGAAGGTAGCTAGCTTAATAAGCTAAAGACTCACAGGCTATTGTAGCTACCATCATATCATAATAAATCGCTATCAAAAAAATTTTGGTATGTAGCTATCAACCAGCTATAGATTTATAGATATTTTGTAGCTAGCTACAAAGCTACTATATGTACATATATATGTACAAAGCTACGATATATATATATATATATATATATATAATATATATATATATATATATATATATATATATATATATATATATATATATATATATATATATTGCCTATTACTCTAATGTAGTGTTTGTGCCACCTGTCTTATTAACCAAATGCTACCATTGTTTAAGAAGCAAAATGAAGAATGCATAGAAGTCAATTACATAAATTGGTACAAATCTTCTATTGATTGATTAAACAGTTTTTCTATGCAACATATACAGAGTTTTTGAAAATGCTACACCAATTTCAGACTCACTATTTAATTAAACGCCACAAAGTGTCTGTTTATCGCCACAAAATAGATAATAATATAAATGGTGAACTAATAATACATTTTGATTTTAACCAAAACTATATCTGTATTTATCGAAAACAAGTTCAAAGTGCTTATTGGAGATAATGTCTCTCTTGTCTCAAAACAATCTTCAATGATGCAATTTATGGTAAAGTTTTTAAAAATATGACTATTTATTTAACAGATAAAAATGATCAAAACATGTCAGTGTTTTCTTTGCAAAAACTTTAAAGGTATTTTTCTTAAACGGTTTAATTTTTATATCTTTTATATATATCTTTGAGGAATACAAAATATTTGTAATATCTTTTTTAAAAGCTTATGCAGTCAATTTAATCATACACAAAGTAACATTTTAGAGTGATAGCCATCTTCTTAATTTAAAATTTCCCTTTGTGGTGAATTTTCTAAAGTATTGTTAAATAACTATTAATATTCCAATTTTTAGGTGGTATTTTTTTGTTACAAACCACGGAAAAGGAGTGAATGATGGGGTAACTTTGAAAAGGATAGCGTGGCAAGCAGTTCAAGAAAGAAAAGTTATTGTCTAAATGTGTAGCAGTTTTATGAGACTAAATGCAAAGATTCGACAGTAAATTTAATATATTTGACTGAAAATGAAATCAATCAATATTACCCTGTAGTACCAATTGAATTGCGAAGTTTGTTTAAACTTGTCATGTTAACAGGCATGTGCTTTTTATATAGTTCCCGCATTTATTTGTATTGTTTGAATAGATTCTTGGAATTTATTAATTTATTTGTAGATTTTTTCATAATGGATAGTATGGAAGGAAAGGGGTGTGCAGTTATAGCATTATTAGACGGGAAGAGAAAACCGTATCAGATTTTCAAAATGCTGCAGCATAAAAGAATATCAATAGATTTTGTCTATCGTACTATTAAGCGATATAATGATAGTGGTTCTGTCAAAAAACGTTATGCCCTCAAGCGATCACTTCTCAGAGAATGGGATGCTTTATCCATGGATACCGTGCGTAAATCAATCGAGGAATGGCGCCCAAGACTGGAGGCGTGCATACGGGTAAAAGGGGGTTATTTTGAGGACTCTCTTCATTAATGTGTACTTGAGCATTTTAACTAAAACATAACATGCATATAATATGTATATATTACATTTGCTCTTGCATTAAAAACATGTTCTCTTAAATTTTTTTACTAAATTAAAATTTCGCACTTTAATTGGTACCACTAAGTATAGTTATTTCATTATAAGCAGAAAAGGTTGAAGAAATGAATTTATTATTTCTGGAGAGTTAAGAATGAAATATTCAGCATGAAAATAATATCACCACTATCATTTTCATCTTTTGCAGTAGAAATGTCATAACTGTGACTATATGGAATGACCCAGTTGGTAATAAAACAATTTTCAATTATTTTACAATTTTAAAAGTTTTTGAAAATAATATTGCAGTTTTTTCAGTTGATCTTTAATAAAAAAAATTTTAAAAACTACTATAAGTCAATTTTCCTAATTTCATTTTTCTGACCTCGTTTCTATGTTTTATGGTAAGACCTTTGTATCAAATAACTAGTGCTGATGCTGACCTTTATAAGATTGAGGTCGGTATATTATTGCCAACCTCATTTTTCCTAATTCCAAGGGTTGAAACAGTAAAGTAAAAAATAGAAAATCAAAATAAAAAAAAAAGTAAAAACAAACACTAAAGTAAAAAAAAGAAAAGTAACAAGTAAAATAAGTAATTATTTTATTAAGTTTCTTTTTTCCTTTTTTTTTTTTATATATATATATTAAAAAAGTATAGAAATGGCATATTTGCTTTGTGGGAAATTCAATGTAAGTTTCCCAGAGACATGAAATAAATCAAAAATTTACCAACATTTTATTATTGTATTAGCATTTGACTGAAAATCTAAATTTAACAATTCGATCCCTAGCAGATTATAAATTGTGCTTCAAAGCAAACACATAAAGACATTTGTCAATATTTTAAATACAATTGTCATTATTATCAAAAATCGCTTCAACAACTCATGGGAAGATGATGAGTGATTGAATTCATATTATAGATATAGAATAAAATTTTGATTAGTTTGTTTATTATTTGATGAGGTATCAACTGTTCTATAATATAACTTGCTGAGATCTACTACTATATAAATTTATAATTTAACCAGAAAAAAAATAAATGGTGTATACACATATTTTTAATGTTACTTTGGAAGGAGGGGGTACAAAAACTGACATCATATATAAGGGGGGTTGGCCAAAAATGATGGGAGGAGGGGGGGGAATGAGAAAAATCACTGACATCATTTATGGACAGCCCCTAAAAAAATTATGGAATTCTGAACTAATCAGATTAACACAACAACAACTGATAATATTAAGTGATTCAAATGTATTATGCTGTACTTTTATAAAAATCATGTACAAAATGCTATCATGTTAATTATGATTATAATTTAAAAAAATAACTTAATAGTTATTTTTTAAATTTATCATCAAGTAAATAAAGATAAAATTTGTACAAATATAAAAGGATAATGGAATTGAAAAATTATTTAATTTAAAAATGTCAAAAGTGATATTAATTAGTTATTTGTAATTTATAATTAATATGTTATTATAAATTATACTTGTGTAGTTTTTTAATACAGGATCTAAGATACCTTAAAAATATTTAAAGATTAATAAGAAATCAGTTAACAAATAGATACATATTTATTTGTTAACTGTTTACTTTCTTGTTTAAAACAACAAAAAAAAAAACAAAAAAAAAACAAACAAAAAATTTAGTAATAAAACAACAGACTTAAAACCAATAATAAACAAAATTTACAAAAATATAAATACAGTTAATTTTATCATTAATATACTTAAATACAACTAATGTCTCCCTTTGTCTCAAAACTCTTCTCTTACTCTCTTACTGATTCTATCATCAACCATGTTATTTTATTATATATACTTTTTATACACATATTTATCATTTTAATTGTCCCCAAATGAAGAAAAATTAAACATAAATTAAATTACAATTCATTTTAGTGCTGGATTAACAAAATATTTGTCTTTAAAAAAGTTAACAATAGCAAAGATCAAACTTCAGGACTTCAGGATTTGCTCTACTCTCTTTTTTACCAAAATAAAAACAAATTCTATGTATATAACTTATTAATTGTATAAATAATCCATTATTATAATTTTGAAGACATAATAAATTATTACAATGCATTATTATGTTTCAAATAGAGAAAGAAAATCCCAAAACTACGCCAAAAATTATTATTATTATAAATATTAGAAACAAATACCTTTACATAGATATAAGATAACTGGAAAACCATACCCATTAATAGAATATCTAAATCAAAAAATCGTTCAAAAAACAAAAACAATTTGCAACAAATTTTTATTCAAAATAAATTGTTAAAAAAAGGCTTGGAAACAATGTGGTTATGATGATGCCATTAGTATCGTTGTCATAAATTATCATAAAGCTATTTAAGTTGTCATAAATTGTCATAAATTGTCATAAAGTTGTCATAATTGTCATAAGTTGTCATAAATTGTCATAAAGCTATTTAAGTTGGTTTCAACAGTGGATTTAGAAAAATTATGCACAACACTTTCTTCTATTCTACTAAACAAAAATAATGTATGCAAAAATCTATAATTAGTTAACACAAATATTATTTTTTATTTCCAAATGCCACTGTTATTTAGAAATGAAATTCTTAAATTTCCCCTAATTTTTCACTATAATATTGGTTATTTCCCTCTATGATACTTCCATTGTTCAATGAAATTATGCAAGCTAAGATTTAGAACTTCCCCATTAACTCCTATAAAGTTTATTTTCAACTTCTGAAGAAAACAGATCATCCACTGCTCTTTTATAAAGAAAATATGGATAACATAGTGCTTTTGCTATATATAGAAAACCTATATAAAGCAGAATCTGCTTTATAAGAGAATTATTTGTTTGAAAACGGAAAATAAATAATTAAATTTTATTAATTAAAAACAGTTTTATTTATCAAAACAATAACATTTTTTTTTTTTTACATTTTATTAATCAAAAACATTCACATACCTACATTTTAAAACAAAGTTGAAATTTGCAAAATGGTTTTTGAAATAAATAAAATGAAAAAATGTTCACTTTAATCTGAATAAAAACTCAAAATAATAATTATTTTGAGTTTTTATTTTAAGAAATATTTTAAAACAGCAAAAAAAAAAAAAAAAAAAGAATAAATATAAACAACTCTGTTAAACTAATAAATAAGACACAACACAAAACTCAACTAGTAATTACTTAAATGGGTAACTAATAAATAAGACACTAATAAAACTCAATGAATAATTATTTAAATGGGTAAAATATGTTTTAAATCATATTATTTTACTATATATACTTTTTTTTTACATCATGTTATTTTAGTATATATACTTTTTATAAACATATTTATCATCGCAATTTTAAATAAAAAATGCTTAACGCATTAGCATAATGTGAATTTGACATAATATTAATTACTGCAAAACGAGTTAAATATTATTTAACTCATTTTTTATTATTACTATTAGTGAATGTTTATTTTCTTTTAGTTTTTTTATATTAAATAATTAAATTTATTATTACATTTTTAAAAATCTTTTATATAAACAAATATATTTCTTTTCTTGACATTTGTATAAATGAATTAAAATATGTTAAATTTTTTAAATGATTATTTCTTAAATTTCTAATTGCAGTTTTGCAACTAAAAATTATTTTTTATTATAAAAAAATGATTGAGTAACAAAAAAATTATGTTAATTTATTTACTTTATTAAATGTTTTTTATTTTATAAGCAATTTTGCTGTGAAAGCAAAGACCTTTTTTTTAAACACCATTTATTAAAATTACATCACTGTATATATAATTTATTAAAAATAATCGCTGCGCTTTAATTTGCATTATAAAAAAAAGTATAACTTACGTTTTGTGCAAACTTTTGATGAAGCTTAGGAACACGTTTATTTTAAACTTAATTATGAGGAAAACCAAAAAAACAAATGAATAAAAATAAGTTGATTTTTTTTTTAAAAAAACAAATAGAAAATTTAAATATTGAACAATATTTAGATATATTTAAAAATAAATTTGACAGTTAAACCCAAGCATTATCTTTAATTTTAATAAACTTAAATATATTTTTTTAATCAGAATTGAATTATATATATATATATTATTAAATCAAAATTAAATTAAATATTTTTTTTATCAGAATAAAACTATATATTTTTATTAAATTAGTTTTAAATTAAACCGTATATTTTTTATCAGAATTAAATAATATAATTATGACCTTTGCTTCAAGCCTATTATTATTAAATAGAATATTAGTATTAGCATTTTTCAAGCGAAAAAATCAATCATTACAAAAAAAAAGCAAAAACAAAATAAAAATAAAATATAATATAAAATAAATGTAAATTAAAATTTAACTTTTTTATTATTAATAATTTATTTTTTATTATTAAACAGTAATTTAAGTATAGTTTTTTTATTGCAATCAAAAGCTGTATTTTGCGCTCGCAAGATGATAAATTAAAGTTTTTATTACAGGTATATGTACCGCAAAAACACAAAAAAAAACACATCTCAATAACTTTTGTATTATCTACTTTTGAGAAAAACTGTTTTTAATGTGTTTAGAGTTGCTTAAAATCAGTTCTTCCCAGCTAGTTTGATTAATTTTTAAGAAATAGTTTTGTTGTTATTGTTAATTGAACTTTTGTTGTTTTTTGTATGTGTACCCCAAAAACCGCATTCAATTTATTGATTGTATCTCTGCAACTAGTGAACCTATGAAGCTGAAATTTGGTGTGTCCTAATATTAATTGATCTGCTTTAAATAAAACCAGTTACTGCTAACTTAATCTTGGAGAAATTACCCAATGCACCACAAAAACCACAAGATAGGTACCCAAAAACAACATTGATGTTTTTAAAATAACATTTTATAAGCTATATATGTGTTCTCGCTTTTTACTATATCGATTCTATGTAACCTCTTGATTCTAAAGATGTCATTGCAGTGTTTTAAACAAAGTTTGCATCGTATTTTTTACGTATTAAAAATCAATAATTTTTTTAAAACATAATAATTGCAAGTATTTATTAAAACTTTGTGTTTGAACCTAGAGAAAAATTTTATTAATTAGATATGTTCTGTAATTGACTTATGTACTCTAAAATGTTTAACGATAATTTTTTTAATCGAATAGAGTTAGAAAAAAATAACAAAGAAAATGAAGCCAAAATTTCAGCTCAGGCAGGAAAAATTACAATCTATTCATGGAAAAAGTAAGCCTAAGGTATCAATTGGGAGAAAGTTTACAGATGCAAAGAATTTACAATTAGAAAAGGCAGTGCCAAGAATTTGATGATTACCTTACTGAGAAGGCAATAGAACGACCTGTTGTTTTATTATCTGACGGCCATAGTTAATGATTCAGTTACGATGGTTTAATATAGCTCTTTTCAAAACAAAATTTGGTTATTTATTTCTTCTCTCGACACTACTGGTGTAACTCAGTTGCATGACCAGGTTAATATAAATTAATGAATTCATTCAAAAATTCTTCATCATGAGTACAGAATTGCGAAGAATTATCTTTTCAACCCAATGCAATCAATTAATCGAGAGACATTTATGACCATCTTAGGCAATATATAGGAGAAATGGACATTGAAACCAGTTCTTATTTCTAGTGCAAAAAGAATTGGAATAACACCTTTTGAATTCAATGTTAACTTTATGCAACAAGATAAATTTGAGCGAGCTGCTGCATACATTCATCATTCATAAAAAAGAACCAGCCTCAACTTCTTTCAAAAAACCTTAATCAACCATTTCATCACCAGTTGGTAAAATGGAAAGGTTCGGCAAGTTACAGGAAAGATAAGTTTGACCAGTCTCAAATCTTGATTAGAGAAATGGCTGAGCAAAGCCTCCAATTAGAAAATATTCCTGATCTGCTAACTATTAAGAAAATCAAACCAAATCTTGAAAAAATATCTACTCGTGTTACTCAGGTCTATTGTTCAATGCGTGCAAAAGATGTTGCACCGAAAGTTAAAGATATAAAAGAAAAGAAACGACGAAAGATAGCAGCAAAGGAGAAAGCCAAAAAAAAAAAAAAAAAAAAAAAAAAAAAAAAAAAGAAGAACCTAAAGAAAAATTTATTAAATGTAAAGTTGAATGTTTTTGCAAACAAAGGAAATGTCACGCTTTTGGATTAAAGCAATGTTCTAATTGTCTTGATGTTCTCCGTTCAATTTGCAGCAAAATGAGTTGCAGAGTTGATGGTGTTAAACTGGTTATGCTTTTACCAGCAAACCAGTATCTAAAAGACTGATATATGACCATTATAACAAATGCAACGACAATCAATAATTTTTTTTTTGAATTAAAGTAATCAATTAAAGTACTATTTTATTCATGTATGTTATCTTAATATTGTTGTAGTAACCTATTGTTATAATAATGTTATAAAGTCTGCAGCCATTTTAGTCTGTGTTATTACTGTTGTGTTCAAATATTGTTTTTAAGATAAATATATATTATTTTCTTTAAAAAAAATCAAATACAATGGTAATTTATTGTTGTTGTTTTTTATTTCAAAACATGGTCTATAAAGTGAATTCTATAAAATGTACAAAGACAATAATTCTTCCTTTCTTTATGAGGGCATTATAAAGATTTATAACTACTTGAGAAAAAAAAAACTTTTTTTAGTATCTAGTTATAATTCATATGTAATAGAAAAACTATATTTTGCTAACTTATTTTCTGATATGGCTTCTAGGCTTCTACAAAACAAAAAAACTACACATTTTTATAATTGAAATTTTTATTCTAGTGCAAATACCAAAGTATTTAACAAATAAAAAAAGCAACCGCTTTAATTGCTGACATATTAGCTATCATAATATATCAAGTTTTTTGAATCCTGAATCTTTTTCTACATGCTAGGTCACTTAAGCCAACATTGGTTGTTTTTGAGATATGTATACCTGTATATATATTTCTTTTATGTTTTTTTTTTATGTTTTATTTAATAAATTTATATAAAAAAAAAAAATTGTTGTTAACTCAGGCTTTCACAGGAAGACGTGCGATTTCACGTCTTTATATGACCACGCAAGTTACATTTTGCTATGATGGTTTGACCGCGACTAATTCAAAAAACATTTTAGAAACGCGCTAAATAAAAAATATTCTAAAAAAGTGAATTTAATTACATCAAAACTTCTAAACAAATGTTTTTATATTAGTGAAACGATTTTAAATAAAGTAACAATTTAC